ACGTATGTATATACTATAGTATGTGTGTGTATTTTGTATGTATGTGGATGTATGTATGTGTATTTTTGTATGTATGATGTATGTATGTATGCATGTATGTGGATGTATGCATGTATGTGGTTGTATGCATGTATGTATGTACTATAATATGATGTGTGTGTATGGATGGATGGATGTATGTATGTACTATAGTATGTATGTATGTATGTATGTACGAGTATGTATACACACGAATACAAGAGGCTGGACGCCCGTCTCGCGTTAATACCCTTCATGTTAACTGGAGACGAAACAATGCACCTAATTGTGAATTGGGTCCTCCAAGTTACATCATAAAAGATGGCTGCCCAAAATGGTGTTGAAAATTAAGAGAGACTTATTAAGATGAAGAGGTTTTTTTCGCGAGGGTATACAGACTTAAGAAGAAATCTAATAATGTAATAACATCTGAAAGTCCGGGTGGCGACAACGAGCGTCTGGCAGTCCTAAAGGTTACAAAATCTCCGAAAAGAATATATCCGTTAAATCTGTCACCTTAATTGCTTTTCAGGTGAATCTAGTTAAGGCAATATCATCGTCAAATTATTATCCCTCCTGTGGGCGTTAATTTTCGTGTGTCAACCTTGAAAGTTAATCGGATAAAATTCTTACATCCTCACCCGCGAAGTGCATCTACCTTTACGAAGTTCTTGACACCTGCAGTTCCTGGTCGTTAACACCACACCCGGACATGCCATCAATCACGCCCACACCTAGAGGCAATTTCAACGCTGACGAAAATAATGATCCTGGAGGTGGCCAAGAACCTTCTACCGTCCCGCCCTTGTATCCATGCCGTAATCTAAGCTCCTTCCAACCACCACCAGTTCCTTTCATCACCTCCGCCTTCTGTCCACTTGACCTGTCCTTTTGTCCGCCCGATTTGTCTCTTTCTTCGCCCGACCTGTCCCTCTGTCCGCCCGACCTGTCCCTCTGTCCGCCCGACCTGTCTCTTTGTCCGCCCGACCTGTCCCTCTGTCCGCCCGACCTGTCCCTCTTCCGACCTCCGTCCGCGACCTGTCTCTTTGTCCGCCCGACCTGTCCCTCTGTCCGCCCGACCTGTCCCTCTGTCCGCCCGACCTGTCCTTCTTCAGGACCTGGAGAAAAAACACGGGCAATCTTGAGCGGCCAATTGGTGGTGAGAGGGGAGGGGAGATCGTGGGGGGCGAGTGGTGACGAAAGTGGTGGTGGGGGGTGAGGAGGAGGGGGAGAAGGAGGGGGAAGGTGATGGTAGTGGTTGGTAGGCGATAGTGGTTATTGTTGTTGGTGGTGGTGGTTGTTAGTACTCTATGATTCACAGCGACCAGAACAGTTACGGCTCGTCACGCCCCACATACACAACATATGTTACACACACACACACACACACACACTTAACTTGAAGCTGGAGATAAAACACCGTTATTTAATCACAGGTATTTCAGTTTCACAGCCAGCCGCACAGATATTGTAACATGACAGAATAAAGTTACGATACCAGAACATTAACACCTTGGAGGATACCTTAACCTCAGCTATCAGGACCATAATGATATCGCAACATTAACCACAGTGTAACAAATGATATCATTAGGATATAATTATAAAAGACATAAAACCTAACCTAACTTTAATCACCAGAAAGATAGATTGAAGATATCGTAACGTTAACCACTAAAATTATTAACCCCCCCCCCCTCCCCGCTTCCTTCTCCTCCCTCAAACATGAAAAGGAATGAAGGATATATAATCAAGGTCCCGTCAGTCCGTCCATCCATCTGTTGATAAGTGGTTTCCGGATAATACCAGAAGAAGAAAAATTACATACTGAAAGAATTGTAACCTAACATTTTGTTTGGGGTGGAAGGGATCAACCCACACACTCTCCGGGGAGCTTTGTAACATGACACACAAAAATCATAAGAAAGGAGGAAACTACAGCGGACCATACTGGGCGATCCCATTTACACCCAACCCCTATCGTTCATATATCCATCTAACCTGTGTGTGAAGCTATCCAGCATGTTCGAGTTAATGATGATGTTTGGTAACTTGTTCCATTAGTCCATTAATATATTTCCAAACCAATGTTTACCTATCTCGCGCCTAAATCTAATTTGTCAAATTTAAAACCATTGTTACGAGTTCGCTCCTGGTTGGATAGTTTGAGTACCTTTGTAATGTCACCTTTGTTTAGCAGACTTCCATTTATACACCTCGATCATATCGCCCCTCACTCTACGTCTCTCGAGGGAGTGCAAATTAAGATGCTTTAACCTGTCTCTGTATTAAAGGTTCCTAATGCCTTGGATTAATTTAGTCATTCTCTTCTAAATTTTTTCTAGGGATTCTATATCCATTCTGTAAAACGGTGACCAAAACTGAACTGCGTAATCCAAGTGGGGTCTCACAAGCGCAAGATATAGTTTAAGGATAACCTCGCTAGTCTTGTAAATAACACTCCTTTGTATGAAACCAAGTACTTTGTTAGCCTTGTTTCGAGCAAATACACATTGCTGACTTGGTTTAAGATTCCTACTTACCATTACTCCTAAATCTTTCTGTCGGATTTCTCTATATCAGCGTTGTTCATCTGATATCTGGTTTCTCTGTTTACATCTCCTAGACATCAAATTTCATCTGCCATTTTTCAGACCATGCGAATTTTTTTCTAGATCTTCCTGTAGTTTAGCGGAGTCCTCGTCTAATTACAGTAGAGTCATTGTGTATTTTCGACGCCATTTTTATCCTCCATTTCAAGTTAATGGAAGAATATTAATAGTTTAGATACCAGGTAGTTAAACAGGAAGATAAATCACCTCTTGTTATGCTAATGATCTCAACCTAAGGTCTTTTGTGATTGGTGAAGGACATCGAGCCATCGTTAATATTACCCACAGGTGACGGTGAAAATAACTTGTAATCTTCCTCTCAATCATCTGGTAAGGGAAGAGAAGAGAAAAAATAAAGATACCCTCGCGTGACCAGACCCCACTTAAGTATGTACATCTCTGGGTTACCGTAACGTCTGCCGCCTCCGTTCGCTTTTATTGCTCCCTCTTTCTCTCTCTCCCTGTCCGTCTGTCGATCTCTCTCTCTCTCTCCGCGGGTCACATTATACTGTGGATTAAATTTTTATTTTTTTTCATCCCACGGTGGAGAAAGCTGCCCGCCTCTTCAGATAACCTCACCACCCTTCAGGAGCTCAGTAGCGAACAACCTGAGAGCAAGAGTCAGGGTCGAGCTAGCATGTCTGTGAAATACACCAGATTCCTCTTTATCTAACGTGACTCTGATGTAAAGTTTTTCCTCCCACGGGAACTCCTACGCCAGATGGTAAAAATAGATAGTGTATTTATATAAAAAAACGGTAAAATTTTCGTTTCGGTCATCCACCTGAAATGAAGGTCAGAATCGTTCAAAACACATCCAAAACCATCGATGAAACGTAATTTCAACCTCATCTAACCTAAACCTAACCTAACCCAACCTCACTGGATGACCGAAATGATAATGCGTATAAAATTATTCTGTCAAATTAATACGAAGATGGGAGTTTCTCTTACAGCAAGCCGCCGCGGGAGAGAGAAAAAGGTTAGTTACACCTCATAGGTCGGCGACATGTTAACGGCAATAGGTGGGTTTGTTTTCGTTTTTGTTGCTAGAATGGTTTACCTGTTAATACGGTGGTGACCATCTTCAATGAGCACACACAGACAGACACACACGGGCACTAACACAGACACACACGGGCACTAACACAGACACACAAGGGCACTAACACACACACACACGGGCACTAACACACACACACACGGGCACTAACACACACACACACGGGCACTAACACAGACACCAAGGATGAAGACGTTCACCACACAGGGATGTGACTTACAGCGTCGTGAGGTGTAATAAATAAACGCCTGAGTTCACCACTTCGACAATTTGGAATTTTTTTTCTTTTGCCTCTGACGGGGAATCTTCTCCATTGTTATAAGTTATAAGATCAACGATAAATAAGACCAAATGCTAAGAAAATACAACCTAGATAATCGATTTTTTCTGAACATTTACCCATTAACAATATCCATGATAAACTATTTATATCTACAAATACCTACATAATTTAGTAACTTAGCAATACGAACCAAAACTAAAAATAAATATGAATGAGACTCTTAACATCTTTTATACATAACGAGAAGTGAAATATTTAACACATTCTCAGAGATTAACCTATCCTAGAACTCGCAACTGCTCCTCAAGCCTACTGTAAATTTAACCATAAGGTAACATTGATCAAAGGTGAACACCCCCTCCCCTCCCCCACCCCTGAGGAACGCCGCTACTGTCAGAGAGTAAACTACCGCAACGATAACTACCACTAACACACAGCACCGGCTCTAACATCACGCATCACTTCTCATGGTTAATATTGACAACTGACCCGCCGACGAGTTATTTGTTTTGTTGTTTATTTTCTTATTCTACTATTACCTATATTTTCCTAAGCCCAAAACAGTCATACATGAGAACCCATTACATCTACCTACACTAGTGCCAAACGCGACACACACCTCTGATTAACCCACATAAGCGCGCGCGAACAAGACCAGCGGGAGATAAATTACTTAATAAACCCAAACATGGCATCAACAACACCTTCAACCAGCAGTTCGTCCACCAGCCTCAACACACCTACAGTATCAGGTAAACATAGAGGTGCCGACACGTGTGGTGGTGGCCGCCCGCCTCACAAACACCAGCGGCAGAGTTTCCTCCTGCCCCACAGCCAGCGGCTGCCGCTACCCGTTAACTGTCAAACTCAGCTGACCCGACTTACTTACCCTTAAACAAACTCTCTAACTCAACAACCCAACATCCAGTCCTACTAACATGTCATGATTCCCTACTTAGTATATTTTCGCTATGGAGGAAAACCCCAATTTTTTTTTAGAGTTTATGTAACAAGACTGACTGACCTGTTGTGACGATAGCGAGTACTGCGAGGCACAAGCCAACTGTGTAGTAACTCCTCTCCCGTCCCATGGTTGTGGCACACTGACCAACCCGCGCCGCCAAGTCCCACCACACACCGTTGTTACCTCGAGCTCCGCCCACTTGCTCCATATCCGCCTCTCTATTGGCTGCCATCTATGACGTCACACCCCAATTCGCCAATCCACACCTCAACACCCTAGTATAGAGAGTCACGTAATGTAAATCATGTAAGGTAAGACACGTCACAACCCCATAATCACTACCTTGGGTGATCAGGGGTTATTTTGGCTGCCAGTATCCAGGGAGGTTAGCGATGATTGACCCACCTCTCCCTCACCTCCTTCCCACACCTCAATAGTCACTACTGTCATACTGCCTCAGTTAACCAACACAGGTGGCAAGTTGGCCATACTGGTAATGGAAGGTGGGCATATTGGTAATGGAAGGTGGGCATATTGGTAATGGAAGGTGGGCATATTGGTAATGGAAGGTGGGCATATTGGGAATGGAAGGTGGGTATATTGGTAATGGAAGGTGGGCATATTGGGAATGGAAGGTGGGTATATTGGTAATGGAAGGTGGGCATATTGGTTATGGAAGGTGGGCATATTGGTTATGGAAGGCGGTCATACTGGTAATGGAAGGCGGGCATATTAGTAATGGAAGGTGGTCATATTGGTAATGGAAGGCGGGCATATTAGTAATGGAAGGTGGTCATATTGGTAATGGATGGCGGGCATATTGGTAATGGAAGGTGGGCATATTAGTCATGGAAGGTGGGCATACTGGTAATGGAAGGTGGGCATACTGGTAATGGAAGGTGGGCATACTGGTAATGGAAGGTGGTCATATTGGTAATGGATGGCGGACATATTGTAATGGATGGGCATATTACAATGGAAGTGGATGGTAATGGAAGGTGGTCATATTGTGTAATGTAAGGTGGGCATATTGGTAATGGAATATTGGCAATTAATATTAATGTAATTTGGTAATGGATGGCGGGCATAGGCATATTGGTAATGGAAGGTGGGCATATTGGTAATGGAAGGTGGGCATATTGGTAATGGATGGCGGGCATATTGGTAATGGTAATGGATGGCGGGTATATTGGTAATGGATGGCGGGCATATTGGTAATGGAAGGTGGGCATAATAATAGTGGAAGATGGCCATACTAACAGCAAATGGTAGCCATACTGAGGGGTGGCCATGCTGGTAGAGACAAAGATTAGTGGTTGGCCACAGTGGGAGTTGTGGCAGATGACAACACTTTGGGTGGTGGGCGGGTGATGGGTGGTGACTGGGTGTGGTGGGCGGGTGATGGGTGGTGACTTAAGTGTAGCGGGTGGGTGATGGGTGTCAACACTGAGGTCGGTGGGTGGCCACACTGGAATGAGGGGGGGTGGCCACAATGACAAGATTCAAGGCTGTCGGAGACCCCAATTCTTCCCTTGTGATCATTAAAGATATTAAACACTAATTACCTTAATATGTTATAACAAACCTTCCATATAACGCAATCTTTCGTTAACGTAAAAAACTAACGAGGAGAAAATACTATTATCATTTTGGTGTATTTTTTCGTTATGGTAAAAAATAGATGATGAAATAAAATTATAATTACTTTTTAATGCAATATTTCTCAGTATCGTCAAAAACCGAACGAAGGTTAAAGAGAATTATGAAAACATGTGAATTTTAATTATATCAGTGTCGAAATATTTTGATACCAGATACTATCGAATTTTTATTTCTATATTTTCGTTATCATTTAGAAGTTTTTGCAAGACAGTAGTTCGTAAGAAGGATATTGTCAAACTCGTACTACGAAAATTTTATAAAGAACCATGTTTTATTTATTTAATTTTGTAAGATGTCTAAAATAGTTCTTATTTTTTTACTGTTTTGTTTAGTTATGGAAATTTTGGTTTAAAACATTTTTGTAAAATAAAAATACGAAAGTTCTGTAAGATTTTAGTGTAATCGAATTATTTACAAGAGAGAGAGAGAGAGAGAGAGAGAGAGAGAGAGAGAGAGAGAGGTGTAATATTACGATCACAGGTTACGTAATATTTCGGTATAGATGTAAGTTAAGGTGACCCGCTGAAGCTGACAGTCATGGTGGTTGTGTGTGTATGTGTGTGTGTGTTGCTCCACCCGCCCATCACCACGCCCACACCTACGGCCAAGCCCACGGTTGCGCCCACAACTAATTCCATAGCCGCACTGCCCATCTAAGACCACGACAATACCCACGACTAACAAAACCCATGCCCGTGCCTATACCAACAGCCAAGACCCATGCTATATACCCCGATAACCACGCCCCTCGCCCACATCCACGCCCACTGCTAAGTATATCGCCTTTGCCCACGACGTGCCCCTACTCACGCCCACGGGTAGATCCATGTGGAGGAGTACCAAGCCCTTGACTGTCACCCTCACCAGGAGACGATGGGGGAGGGGGGGAGGTGATGAGACGGGGTAGTCGAGCTGTGGAGAGAGAGAGAGAGAGAGAGAGAGAGAGAGAGAGAGATTGTGTGTGTCTGTGTGTGTAAAAATTAAGTCAAAACAACGGAAATTAAAAATGAACATAATAAAACAATAGGAAAGAAAAGACAAATAATAAGATAATAAAACATAAAAGTTAAACATGGACAAACAGAACACACACACACACACACACACACACACACACACACACACACACACACACACACACACACTTACAAGGAAAACTCATGATTATTATCTTTGGTTGGTGGCTGTAAGTAAGGACACGCCACGACCTTAGACGAAGCAAGGACAGGGAAACGGTGTGAGAACAAGGGTAGGGCCAATAAGAGGAGGAGAAGGTGGATATTAAGGGATATAAAACACATATAATAACGAAGAAAATGGAAGAGAAAAATATATCCTTGAAGCGGAGACTCACTTAACCTGGAATCTGGAACCAAATTTGTCCTTACCTTACCTGACTGTAATCTAACGTAACTTAACCTTACTTGCCTCTAACATAACCTAACCTAACTTCACCTTATCTGTCTTTAATGTAACGTAACGTAACTTAACCTTACCTCTAGCCAAGCTAAATCTATCTTGACCTAACCCTACCCAACGTAATCTAACTTAATCTCAACTAACCTAACCCTCAACATAATCCAGAACTTAACCATATTTTACATAACGTAACATAACCTAACCCTAACGAACTCTAACCTACGTCCAACCAGACCTAAGCTAACCCAACATAACAAAACCTAACCTAACCAAAAATAAACATTCCAGCCTCCCTCCCCCCCTTACTTTATTTTATAATGATCGTATGTGGTTCCGCGTCCGGTCTTGATCTGAAGTAAACCTTGAATAACACGTACGAGGATGACCTTGAGACTTAACAAGGAGTCGAGTCGGTACATGACGTGAAGAATGAGTACTACCTCTCGACGATGACTCTTATACTGTAACACTGTACCAATGGAGGACACTGTAGCATTGGACACCACGGTGACACTGTATTTTTTTGAGTTCTTCATATAACGACAAGTCCCTAAACCGATCGTCAGGCCAATAAGACTCACCTTAAAATTAACCCCTTAACGCTAACCTTACCTTAACCTAATCTAACGCTAACCTACCTTTAACCTAATTTAATCTAACCTAAATTAACCTACTTTTATCCTAATTTAATACAACCGAACTTAACCTAACCTACCCAGATGCCGTTAGTGTGTTTAATCATCAGATGCAATAAACTGGGGTGCCTAATCTTCAAGTGATCAGGACACCCTTCACTGCCCTCCGTTTAAGATGCGACAATTGGGTTTTCCATCTCAAAGGGATGAATAAATGTATTGGGTTCAATTACAAGGCAACAGGTGGCAGGGTAGTGGTGTGGCAGAGTAGTGGTGTGGCAGAGTAGTGGTGGTGTGGCAAGGTAGTGGTGGTGAGGCGACCGGTAGGCAATCATGGGCGGCAGCAGGAGGCAAGATTGGGGTTGGGATGGTGAGAGACGTTGGGGGGAGGGGAGGGGGGGTTCAGGACAACAGAGGCAAGAAGAGGTGGCAGGAGGAGTGATGGTAAAGGGTGGCAGAGCGGAGGGGATGCTTCAGCGTGGCAGTTGGCAGGGATGGTAGGTGGGGTGGTCCTCAACACACACACACACAGGTCGCTGAGGTCAAAGGTTTCTCCTAGTGACCTCGTGATCCTGGGGGAGTTCTCTCTCTCTCTCTCTCTCTCTCTCTCTCTCTCTCTCTCAGGTTGGATGACGTGTTGTACCTGAGTGGTTGGCGAGCGGTGACTATTCTTTATGTAACTTTACCACAGAGAAGCAGATATATAGATAACTAAAAAGATAGACAGACTGATACACAGATAAATACACAGTAAAGTAGTAAAAGGAGAGAAAATGGAGAAACCCAGATGATTAAACAGACAAAGAAACAGATGAGAGGAGTGGAGGAGAGGAAAAGCCACAATAAACAATAAGGAAAAGTGTTCAGCTGAAGGCCAGGACATAACCTGCAAATGACCTGATGACCTGTGACCTTTACCTGACCTGATGACCTGTGACCCGCTGACCCTGACCTGATGGCTTGTGATCCATTTGGCAAGGAACGATCAAGAGGAGAAGAGACAACGATTATTTCACCTGATTAAACACCTCAAGCCTACCTGGGAAATTAGGTTAGGTTAGGTTTCAGTTAAATTAAGTAAAGGTGTTTATTCATCAGGTGAAATAATCTTAGGTGTGTATTCTTCATGTGACCCGAAGCGCTTGTCGTGGTGATCTGACCTTGGAGGACAAGATTTGACTGATTGACCTTGGCCGCTAATGACTCAGCCTACTTTAGTGTCCATCAGAGCCCCCTGGGATGGTAACCCGATTGTCTGAAGTCAACAGCTGGTCAAGTTTGGTATTGAGAACACTGACTGAAGGACAGACATAGACATGGGGGTCGCCTTATAGAGAAATACTTGATGGTATCTTGATTTGGGTGAATTTTAACTCTGATCTTTGATTAATTTCGGATAAAAAATTCAGTAACTTCTTGTCAGTTCTGATGATTTCGTAAATATCGG